AAAAAATACGCAAGGTAGTGATGTTATTTCATTATGGCGAAACCTCCACCCACTACATCTTTGCCTTAGCATTTAGACTTTCCATCATTCAAATTAATAAATTCTTATCTTTTATTCTTTCTTTATCTTTTTCAATTATAGCTATAATCCTCATCATTCTAAAAGAATTGAACCTAACTACTTGACTGCAAACTAGGAACCCATTCAAACTCAACCCCCTACTTTCTTTAATCCTGATGAATGATTGATTTTTCCTAAATCAATTCCAATTTTAATGGTCTAAAATAAAAGGGTACCCATAAATTTACTGGTCAAATCAAATAAATCTTTTACTCCCTAGCTTATAGTAAAAAAGGCATACCAAGAATCAAAATCATTGGAAAATATTTGGCTAAAACAGAGAGATATGTGAGAGTAATTAATGTTAGAGGACCCAAATATGTCTCGCCTCAATGGAAATAGAAAACACAGGAAAAGGCAATTAGATAATGGATGAGAGTGTGGCCCAAAAACAACTCTACTTTATTTATTAGCATAACGAAATTCAAGTGGGTGTTCTCTAAATTAAGAGGGTAGAGGGGGGGCTCACAGTTAGGAGCATATGCGAGATGAGCAAGCAAAACCTTTAAAAAGGGCCGGTGAAAATCCAAAGAATCTCTATAAAATCATAAGTGATCTTCCATGGTGGTTATGCATGTGTCTTGTCCTTCCATACAAAAGTTTAAGGGGCGCACACACATGTATATACATATATTGTTTTGACATGTAGGGCGGAGAGCAAATGGTAGGGAAGGCGAAGAAGTTAAAAGTGCTTTTTTTTTTTTTTTTTTTTGTGTGTGAAGCGATGAGTGGATGATGTCAAAACTCAAGATTCCTCCTTCCTCATCATGAGTCCTAGTTGCAGCCTTTACACCCCCCTTTCTTCATTTTCTTTTCTGGAGGAAAAACAATGCTTTACAAGAATATACAGATAAAACTGACTGGTGAATGCGTGAAGTTTCTTATCATGTGCACCAACCTGAAAATATAAAAATGACAAAAGATTCTGTATGGAAAACCCTAATAACATTGTACATTAATTTTTGTTCAAATTTATTATATTTATCATTCGATTCATAAATTTTAATTGATTAGCATTTAAAAATTAATTCGATTTACAATTCAATTCATAATTTGTGGTCAGTATTTTTAATTTTATAATTACTTTAAATATTTTTATTTAAATTTATTTAATTAAAAAAATATCTAATTTATAAGTACTGTAATTAACATATTGAGTCCGACATATCTATCTTTCAAAATAAAAATTTATGAAAAAATGCGTGTTAGATTGAAAAAAAAGACACGAACACCAAACAAGGCTTGCTTCTAAAGCAGAGAGCCACCTTATTTTGGAATCTCTATTAGGTGATGGTGTAACGACCCCGGAAAATATTAAAAAAGAAATGAGTATTTAAATATATCGAATGCGGAAGCGAGATCAAAATTTCATTTAACATCCCTTACACGAAAAACCAAAAACGTACTTAAAATATAAAAGATTAAACTAACTAAGAAAGAAACTCGAAAATAAAACTATGCGTATGACTACAGAGTCTCTAGGCATCCCCTTCGTCGTCCTCCTGCGGAACGGGCTCGGGAACCATGTCATCCTGATCTGAAATGGTTAATTAAGGAGTGAGCTACACTAGCCCAGTAAGAACATCACGATATCTCACCGTCACGGAGATAAAGGTGGGTAAAAAACCACAAAAAGACCAATGGAGCATAATTTACAATAAACTCGTTTATTAACAACAAAACCTTTTATCAATAATAAAACTTTGACCATCCACTTACCTTGGTGGAATTTATGAAAACAATATGAGAAAAACAATAACATTATCATAATCATTGAATAATCTAAGCTGTAAAACATAACACTTATCACGCCTCTTGTAATTCAATCATTGTACAACATATTTTTTTCTCATTTACCAGCCTACTAGTATCCGTGGGGGTCCATAGGGGTTCCGCTACCCGTTAACCTTTAACATTCATAATCAGTTTCCAGGACCGTCCCCATACCCCGTCCGGTATGGGCGCCAAAACCATAAACCTCAATACCCCGTCCGGTATGAGGGTGAAACGGGCCGTCCCCATACCCCGTCCGGTATGGGCGCCAAAACCATAAACCTCAATACCCCGTCCGGTATGAGGGTGAAACGGGCCGTCCCCATACCCCGTCCGGTATGGGCGCCAAAACCATAAGATCTCCATACCCCGTCCGGCATGTGAGACCACAATCCCGGTAGGGTTCCCTACGGACCCGGTCCGTCCACCATCTCCCAGGATATCTAGTCAGGCTGACCCCATCATACAATTATCAGTCTACACAATCTTTCATTTTCCTTTTCCTCAATAAGCATCATCAATTCACATACAAACAAGCAAACAGTAGTTCATGCCAAACAGACAACATACAGTATCAGTTCTTCAGTCATTCAACCCATAATTAATAAAACAGTAATATATGCATTCGAAATTATAAAATGAACACATCAAACCCCATAATGCATTTAAAGCTGTAAAACAGTGTAAAACATGCCAAACAACAGTAAATCATTAATCACACTAGACTCGGGCTCCATTAGCAACCTTAAGCAATTTCACACATGCGTTAATTCAAGAAATACCGTTTTATCATTTTGAACTTTAATACCGTGATAGGAAATAGAGTGAGGGGTCCTTACTTGTTTTCGGGATCCGAATACGATTCACAGTGCGCCTGCAGGCTGTCCCTAATTTTTCCCTGAATTTTTTCCGGGGAACTGAAACACGCTAACAGTACCTGCACGGGTTCCAAAAAAAATCCAAATTAGGCCCAGGGCCTCTTTCGGCCCAAATCGCAACTCCGGCACGGCGGCTCCGCCGTGCTCCGGCGACGGCGCCGCCGCTGGCGGCGGCGAGTCGCCTCGGGTTGACTGTTTTCGGCCGCTTTTGGCCGAATTCGGCCACACTCGCATTGGTCCTTGTCAGAAAACAACCCTAGGGCCCTCGGGGGGCCAAAAAATCACGGAAAAGCGGAGCTTACCGGCGGCGGCGCTCTCGGGTACGGCGACTCTCCGGCGAAGTTCGTGTTTTGGTGATTTGGCTTCGGTCAACCTGTAGAGAAAAGAATGGTGATCACGGTGATATAAAAATTGCATCGAACGGAGGCCGGGAAGGGCCTCGTCGGAGGCAAAAACCGAGAGGGGGCGCGGCGGTGCCGCTGGGCTTCGGCCGCGTATTCCGGCCGTTTGGCCGGGATTTCGGCTTCGATTTGGCCATATGAGGAATCAGTGGGGAAAAACGAGTCGGGGGTATGAAATTTACCTCGATCGGCGGTCGAAAATTTCCCCGGTGCGGCGGCGAGTGGCGGCGGGTGGCGGCGGTCGGCCTCTGGTTCGTCTTCTCCGGCGAGCGGCTGGCGGCTAGGGTTTGTGGTCTGGTGTGGAGGTTCTATTTATAACCCCTTGCCTTTTGATCACAGCCGTTCATTTTGATTGAATCTGGGCCGTTCGTTTTTGATTGAATCTGGGCCGTCCGTGCGATTGAATCTGGGCCGTCCGATCGCGTGATTGATCTGGGCCGTCGGATCGCACCCACGCGGATCGCCAACGTGGCTCCTTTTGGAGTGACGCGGTCTTGCCACGTGGCAGGCCCTGGTTGGCCGGGACTGCTGACCGGGCCTGCTGACGTGGCTGCTGACGTGGCCGCCCTTTTTTTTTTTTTTTTTTTTTTTTTCTCCTCCTTTCCGGGTGCTACAGATGGATTATTTAAAGCAGAGGATTGGCGATTAAGAAAAGACATGCAACAAGGACGGCTGTTCATAATGCAACCCATTGTTAAGACATGATTAAGAATGTGGGAAGCTACATCTAATGATTTTGATCAATCATTAATCAAGATTTTTAATTTTGTTTACTTTCAACTGATGATTTTATATGACTAACTAACAATTCTTATACATCTTCTCAGCGGCATGCAGCCTATCTTCAGACCTCTGCCGCCCGCAATTTACCCACCCAGCGAAGACCCTACAAGCAGTTCTTTAGAAATCATGGCTCCTGCACGCTCCAAACTCTTCTTTACATAATTACATATTACTGCTTTGCGTAATATATATATATATGTGCATATATCTTCTACCACACTATATATTCTGAGTTTATAGAAACATTTTGTTGTAATTACACGAAAATACTAATGTAAAAACTGAAAGTAAATTTTTTTCGAAGTAAAATAATACTGCTCTTTTTTAAGTGAAGATTTCGTTATAAAAAGTTGAATTTTTTTATATGAATTCAATCAAAAATAAAAACTAAACAAAAACCGATTTTTACAAAAAAAATTTCTGAAAAATTTAGAATTTAAGAACAAAAAATGAGAGGCAACTTGTATAAGTTTTTTATACAGGTTGCAAAGGAAAAATCTTATTGAAAAGAAATGCATAGGTGAATGGTAAAGCGCAAGGTAATGGGCTTAAGAAAGTTGGCACAAGGTAATGGGTTTAAGAAAGCTGACACTAGGTACTGGGCATGACGAAGTGAGCTGAACCCACACTAAACCAGAAAGAATATGTGACAGAAAGCCCACTTCCATGACTAAATGCATCATGATCCTTGCTTCATCCTGCTCCAGGGGACCAGAAAGGCAGACAGAAACCCTAGAACAAGTGTGATTTGGGGGAAATTTTTCCAACCTTCAAATTGCAGGGTCAAGAGGAGTTTCATAGAAGATCTGTAAACTTTCCTAGCCACAGGCAAGGTTTGATTTCTTATCCGTCTTCTCAGCATTGTATGATTACGTAGTAGCTGTTATTCTAAAACCTCAATTTAGCCCTCCTTCCGCCAGCTATGGTTCCCCGTGTATATATAACTCTTATCTCACTCTCTCTCAACAATCCTTCGCATCTCCGCAAACCTACTATCTTTTACTCATTATCTCTTCGCCTATTCTCTTCCTCGCGACCCAGGAAATCGGATTCCGCCGTCGCTCTATCAGATTATTTGATTAGTCAGCATCATTTTTCCCCTGAGATAGCTCTGAAGGCCTCATCATCTATTCATTTTGTCAAAAATCCGAAGCGTTCGGATTTAATTCTATCATATCTCAGAGAAAGTGGGTTTACTCAATCCCACATCGAGAAACTGGTTATAAAAGCACCCCGCGTCCTAACCACCAGACTTGACGTTACCATCAAGCCCAAAATCAAGATTTTCCAGGAGTTTGGTTTTGACTCCTCTGAAATTGCTGATATAGTGTCATCTGATCCATGGATCTTAGGTAGAAGTGCCAATAATCAGCTAGGGCCGTCCATTTCAGCGCTAAAAAGCGTCTTGGGATCTACTTCGGGCCTTCCTACCTTGTTAAAAAGATGCGGTTGCTTTTTGAAATATAATTTGGAGAAGACTCTGTTGCCCAATATCTTATTCTTGACTAGTTGTGGGGTTAGTTCTTCACAAATTGTCAAGTATCTGTTTAATTTCCCAAGATTTTTCCTTCATAAGCCAGAGAATGTCAAGGATTTTGTCAGAAGGGTTGATGAAATGGGAATAGATAGAAAATCCAAGAAGTTTCTGGCTGCAACAGTGGTGATGAGTTCAATGTCTGTACAAAGTTGGGAGCTCAAGTTGAAGCTTTTTCAGAATTTGGGGTTAAGCGAAGATGATATTATGTTTGTATTTAGAAGGGTACCTCAGGTTTTCTCTATATCCCGTAGGAAAATTAAGGACGTGATCGAGGTCCTTCTATGCAAGGGAAAAATGGATATTTCTTCCATAGTTAACCATGCAGAGTTGCTCATTTGCAGTGTAGAAGGCAGGCTTAAACCACGGTTGGAGGTTTTTGAGATTCTTGAACGCAAGAATTTGTTAGCGAGAAAACCTAGGCTGACTTCACTTTTCAAGATTTCAGATAAAATGTTCTTAGGCAAGTATGTGCTTCCATATTCGGATGAACTTGGAGATGTTCAATGGCTAAAAGGGGTAAAAATAAATGAATAACTTACTGTTCGGTTTGGAGGCACATCAACAGGAAGATGTTACAGAGAGACTTGTGGTCACCTATGTTCTCTGGAGAGATCATGAAGCAGCTCAAGGGGGAAAGGATATCAACTTTTAGAGAGTTTAAAAGGTGCTAGAAATCATGGCTTGTGTTTAGGTAATCTTTCTGAGCTACTTCGTGAAGATAATCATTTATTTGGGAAACAGTAAAGACCATTTCTGGAAAATTCTACAATGCCTTGGTTCGAAGTACAGACACCATACCTTGATTTGTGTTATTGTTAAATTAAGTAAAAACAGATCTTAATTCTTGGTTCATTAAATTTGTTGAACAGTTGAAATTTGATTTTAGAAATCTAATCATAAAAACAGATCAGCTATACCTCGATCTTGGGTATATAATTTTTTTTTGGGAAAAAAGCCTTGAGTGTATAATTATTTGGATAGAACTTGTTATAGTTCTTAAGCAAAGCAGTTGAATATGTTTTAACAAAGAGGGCCCATGTTCATGCTTTAAAACCAATATATTCTTTAGATGCATCATAACAAATATAAAATATTTCTACCTGTAGTTGTGATGATTGTGTTTATTTGTTAACCTGTATTCATTTAGGACTACAGGGACTCAGAGTGTTACTTATTTGACAGCAGCCATTTGCGGCATTAATTTTTAGTTGTGATGCGTATCATTTGTTCCTCAAATTATTGTTGTTACACTTCATATAAGTTTTGCTTATAAGTTATAGAGCTAGACATGACATATTTTCCTTCCTGTCTGTGTTTTGTGTTTATTCAACTTAACCACTTGGGCGTGTCTTATGGCCAAATCCCAATCACTTTCTATTCTAACGAATATAATGCTGATAAATCATTGGCGGGATGGTGCTGTAATTTTAGATAGCGTCTGAATGTTAAACGAAATTTTATGCTCAGAATCATTCACTTGAAAATAAATATGTATTTAGAGAGGGTGGGACACAGGTAAAAATGATAAAGCATCATATATGGTCTCTTCCGAAAGAAACTACCACAAGTATTGAATTTGACAGGAGATGTAGGGCTCTTGGTAGCCTGAAACCGAATTTGACATGAGCTTACAGAAAAGGGGTTGAATTATTGAATTAAGTACATTATTGTTGTCCGCCATTTGATAGTTTGTTTTATTTACCTGGTTTTTCTGCTATTGAAGAAAGTATTTGCACTTTACAGAGCAGAAAACTTATATATGCATGTGCAAAGCCATCCATTATTGATCCAACACCTGGAACTCGTCTGTCTTTGATATGATTAGAAAGTCAACTATAATCACATATGTCTTCATAATTTGCTGGCGAACAAAACTGAAGGGCAGGGTTCTGTTTCAGGCGTGGCAATACCAAAGAAACCAACCGTTTCATCCTTGTGAGGAAGAGATAGTAAGTTGATGGAAATGGCTGGTGTATGTAGGGCGCATGGTGGTGATGGGTATCAGCACTGATGACGTTGCCATGAAACGAAAGATGAATGTATTCGGAATAAAATGATCAATCTTGAAACAAGAATATCAAGAAATTCCCTCAAATGTTTTAAAAATGTATAATATTTGTCTTTGATAGATTAGTTTAAATGTGTTGAAGCTGGCCTTCATATACCATTATAGGCTAGTAGTAGGCTAGCGCATAAGCACAAGTACTGGAGTAGAACCGACTGAAGCTACTTGGCTTGCCATTTACCCTTCTTTAAAACATGGTAAGAGGCTTGGTGTGAATGGATGAACTATGAACGTAGATGTATAAGGATAAACACTTGATCAAAGGCAAAAGCAAATTGAAATTGAACAATGACGAACCTTGTTAGCAACTGCCCATAGAGACAAGAAGCCATACAAATATAGTATATTATACATGCATAGATTCAGAAAATCCAACCCAAAGATGTAAACAACACTAGAAAGAGTTCATTTCCAAAAGGTAACTCCTACTGCTAAGCAAAGCCCGTACGACCTCTCCGTATATTCCATCCTTGTCATCTCCAAACGCAACCAACGCAAGCTCAGCGTCTCCATCGACCTCCACGTCACAATGGGACCCACCACCATCTTTCATGGCAATCGGTCTCACCACCACGAGTGTCGCACCTTCCACCCACACCCCACACTTGAGCTGTAGCCTTGGCTCGTGTCGCATCCGCATCCTCACGCACGGCACCACCGTCCTGCTCCTCTCCCAACCCAACTCATCCTCCCTCACCTCACCCGCGCCCTCACATTCCTCCTCCCTGCACTCTCTTAGCCCTTCCTTTTCCATCACCACTGTCCCCTCACCTTCTCTGTCCTTCAAGGTCACCCTCTCCATCTCTCTGTGCCCTTTCACCACCTCCTTCAACAGGAAGTGCCTCGCCGACGCCGCTATCAACGTGCTTATCGTCCACACCACCCTCGTCTTCAGCCCTACCGCGAACTCCGTGTCGCCTTCGTTGGGAACCGAATATCCCGACCCACAGACCCTTACGGTGCGTAAACCCACGATCACGCAGCTCTTCAGAGTCCTCCCGAACTCCGCCTTCCATTTCACCACGGCGCCTTTCTCCAACCTAAGATCACCCGCGGGTAACTCGACCTCCAGGCGCCGGATCCGGTCGAACTGCGACAGAATTTGAGCCGGGGAATTCTGCGATTGGGATTTGGATCGAATAGGGTGCGCGGGCTTCGGGGAGAGAAGCAGGTCGTGGAGGGACTTGAAGATTGTTTTGAGGAAAGTGAGGAGGACGGAATCGGAGTCGGACTCGGGCGAGATGACACAATCAACCCGAAGGAGAAGCGAGTCGGCTTGAGGGACGAGCGAGTTGAATCGTTTCGAAACGGATCGACACCGGATCAAGGTTTTGATGTCGGAGACCGAGTTGAAGATCAGGAGAATCAGCGAGTCCGGAAGTCGATCAAAGCCGTCCATTTCTGCGAATCAAGGGTTTAACGTAATGTAAGCAAAAGAAGCAAGAGTCTCTTTGTCCGATGATCAGACTAATGCGTCTTTTCTTTTGCTTTGCTCTTGTCTTTCCTTGTTTTTTTTCCCCCCCCCCCCCCCCAGGAAGAATGACGAATTAAGATGGGGAAAAGGGCAAAGCGAGCTTTAAGGAGTTGTACGTTTGACAATTGACCAGGGTGCTGGTGTGGCCCGTGCAGTGGATAATCATCGCCGGCGTAGGGAAATTTATAACATGCTGCAGCATAGTAAATGTACTCATCTTTTTCAGATTTTTTGTTCGCAAGCTGGTCTCATGTCACCGACGGTCGGTTTTACTTTTGTCACAGACCGGTTCATGAACGTAGGATGTGATGCAGACTAGTAAGTTTGACAGTGACGGATATATAGTTCATAGCCAGTGTCTGATTTAGAAATTCGTCTTTGATTTTGTTTTAGAAAAAGTAGGAAACGACATCAATGCTTGTTGGTTTCAATTGAATGGTAAAAAAATCAGAAATAAGACCAAACCCGAATTATTCGAATCCGGTAAATTAATATTTCTTGGTTAATATTATTAATAAAATAAAAATCTTAAATCGTTGACCGTAATAAATAATATGTGTCTTGCTGTAAGCGTAAATCATTAAATTTCAGATTTTAGCGTAGATGATGGATCATGGAGATCAATGGACATATTCTTTTTTATTTCCAACTCTACAATTTTATTTAATTTGATTTAATATTTTCATGAGATAAAGTTATCCCTTGAGTTTGAAGCTCTAAAATCAGTTTAATTTAGAACTTATTTATTTAATTTAATAATTAAAATTAAAATCAGTTCAAACTCAAACTTAGATGAAATGACAGGGAAGTATCACTCTCTCTTTTCAATTTCTACTTTAATAATACACAATGGATATATTCTATTTATTTTATTTTTTAATTAAATTCGTAAAAAAATAATTAATAATAAACTTTTCTATCAAATAAATAATTAGTTATTGACCAATTGAGGAGGTAATACCAAGAAATTAAGTTAGCTATTAAATATATATATGTGTATATTTGAAATGTAATAATAATAATAATGTCCAAATAAGCCTACTCGAGGATTGAAGAATTAGCTAAAGATTACATAAGACTAGTTGATTGGATTGTCTAAATTATTTATTCAAAACATGTTATGGTCGTGTAATTCTTTATTCACACACAACTTGGTTGAACCCCAAAATTAATAGTTGCACGAATTTATTGATTAAAAAAAAAAAGTAGAGATTTGTCAAATTCAGCATCCTCTATACTCTGTAATTTATAAGTGTAAATAGGTGTGAATCTATGGCACAGCTCATCCAAGATTGCGACTTTGCGTCGGCTTTTATTAATCATAATAAGTCAAAAACCATTAAATACAAGACAGAGAGAATTAGAGTAACTCCGGATTTAGATTTTTTTTTTTTAGCTTAAACAAAAATCAATCATTTGACATAGATTGACACCAAATTATTGACCAGTGGCACTCGAACCAAACTAATATAATGGTTGGTCACTGGAGCCTTTTTTCCATCTGCTTTTTTCTTGGATAAAATGGTTCAAATATTTTTGTACTTTCTCAATTCTTTGTTCTTTCGAAATTAAGTGCAGGCCCAAAAAAGAAAAAAAAAAACAAAGTGCCTACTTTTCTATCTCTCCAGCCAACTGTTCTACAAATAGAGATAAGTTGAGAAGCAAATTGAAAAGAGCTTCACACTAAATCAATTTAGAAGTACTTCTCCAGCTACATATGCGACATGGACTATCAATCAACAGAACTCACGAAAGCTTACTTTCATGATATTTTCTCACCGACCACTCTCTATGAGCTCTCCATCAAAAGAAATAATTGAAAAGCCACCCTTCCCGTCTTCCAAAGGGATATTCACAAGAAAAGTGCAGTTAAGAGTACAGATGACTGATAAAACTGAGACACTAGGCATCTAGCAAATATAGATGAACTACAAAATTAGTCTCAGATTGTGATTGTAGAATCCAATCTGTCAACACCGTAGACTTCGTCCTTTGTTGGGTTCCCAGTTGCCTGTTTTACCTTTTCCTCCCAATAGCCAATTTATTAACAGATACTCACGAGCAGGAGCAGCTACATCAATTGAATTTACCAAGTTCCATTTTCTTCTTGATTGCCTTTTGACCATGGTATATAAAAGAATCTAGTATTCCAGAGACGGTGAAAACACCTATATGCCACATTTACCACAGACAACCACAAAAAAAAAAAAAAAAAAAAAAAAAAGATAATTAAAGAACTGATCAATAATTAACCAATAGCCATTCTTTTAGTTACATGTAAGTATATAAAACATTAATTTATAGAAAATTATGCACTGCTGATGGCAATAAGGGAAGGAATGAGACTACCTCCAACTATGGCGCAAACATTTGTCAAGAAGTGTAAGAATGACACATGCTCCTCTGTGAAAGTCACCTGCAAGATGCAGATAAATTTTAATAAATTAAGCAAAACAAAAACGAAAATCATTCAGGGAATTTCATGTCATGAGGATCAGTAATATGCTACCTTGATCGGAGACAAGTCATAGAAGAAAAATACTCCTGGTAGAGATTGAAGGCGACCTACTTCAGCATTCTTAAAATGTTCTGTTACAGAGAACTGCAAAGGGCAATTGGTTTATCTTATGGAAAAATGCAAGTACAAAAAAACTATGAGAAACTGAGCTTGTGGAGATTTGATCGTACCTGATTTGACTGAATTGTATGTCCACTCACATCTGTGTACACAGTAGGTACAACCTGCAAAATCATTCTTTTTCCACTTAAACATACTCACAAATTTATCCCTCTAATAAAAATCTCTGATGATTTTGAGGCACAAATAAAGCAGAAACCAAACTCCCATGAAAAGGAAAAAGTGGTTATCATTTCAAATAGAAAAATTGATGGATATAGAAGCACAAACATCACACCAGAATGCTCCTCTCAATAAATCTGCTCATATAGAAAAATAAAACATAAAGCTAATAAAAGCATTTGTCTCCAATTCTTTATTTCAAGCTCAAATCGGACAAGCTTGTGTCTGCGCATTTACCACAAACTGAGTAGATAATAGACACTAGAGGCAACTTCTAGAACAGATTACCCACATGATTCTCTACTACATTCAACTTCAGCACTCTACATAAAGGCACAGCAAAGCATTTAGCATAAACAAGAAAGATCAGGAGCAAAACATAAAGGGAGAAACTTGCAGCATGTTAGGAAATACTGAAATTGGAACCATATAGCAATTAAGTATAGAATTCAAGACATATGCAACTTGAGTGAAAATCAATTTGGAGAAAAAACTTAGCAGAATCCATGGAACAATGCGATAAAGGTGGATAATGAAAGGAACTTATGAAATGCAACTATCAGAGAATAAAGAATATCATGACTTTATAGCCAAGTGATGAACTAGAAACATGCATCAAAAGAACATACTGTTTGCCCACAAAACAAACCTTGATAAAATATTGATACATCCCACTTGGCGTTTCTTGTGTCCAGTGTACACTGAAGAGTAAGAGAGTCAAAAATAAGAAAAAGAAAGTCATGTATAAACAGGTTGTGTCCACATAAGGTATTATTGATTCCTTGCTCAAACCAACAGTTCCAAGTAATAGTTTCATCATTTCCAAATCCGAACTCAACCTCTTTATAAATGGATTGATCTATATCTAACAAAGTGGACTATAAATACTAACTTGAAACCTATTAAATGTGTGTAATCAATTTATAAAATAATCATGATGTTCTTGATCAACTCAGATCGTACTTGAACAATTTAATTTTTTATTAAAAAAATAATACAATAATTATTAAAATATCATAAAAGTACAAAAATTGCATTTCAAATTATCAATTACTTGAACAATATAAACATGAAATAATTCTATAAAAGTAATACCACTAAAAAATATCATTGTTTGTTTTAATGTAATCCGTTGCATCAAATTGCTAACACTGTGAACAAGGGAGGATTTATATCAATATGCTTGAGGGAAAAAGTAAAGAAACAGCCATATGAAGAAAAAATTACCCATCAAGAGGATTTACAACACCGGGAAAATAATCTCCAAAAGCCAATCTATTGATTTTGTGACTTATCTGTAGCACATAAAATTTTAATAAGCTGGATTGTATAAAAAATATAACAGTTAATTCAAAGTAACAAAAAGGAAAGGATCCAATCTTACATTAAAACTGTCTTTTTGAAATGCCAACAGATCATGTACATGGACACCTGACTGCTGAAAGCTTTTCCCAGGAGCAAAATGAAAATTCCCAGCCACCTTGTTGACTTCCAAGAACCCGTATATATTACATCCTTCACCTTCTTCATCCTTAATCCTTTGCAGAAAACCTTCTCTTTTGCACTAAAGGTATAAACAGCAGAGCATTACACAATTATAATTCTAGCTAAACATTGCCATTAGCAAATGTCTCAACATTGAGATAAAGCAAGACAAGCTGACATTTGCTTGAGTGAAGACAGAAATGAATACCATCATTAATAATCATCAATAAAGCACAAGATTAACCCTGAATATGGGGCCATTTTACCATTAAAAAAAACGCTACACAAATAATACAGCTTACGAACTATTCACCTAGTTAGATCTTTTGTTAAGATATAGTAAGACAAACAACAAGGGATTCTTCCAACATACAACACCAAGCCATTTTCATGTCATGCATTTTAAAAACAATCTGCATCATATTAAATGGCCACAACAATATCATCAGAGTAACCATTCCGTTCCTCAATGGTTAAGTATCAGGTTTTCAACCCCAAGGCCATGGGTCTAAAGGAGGCGAGAAAAAGAGAACCAATTACCAGCAATTACGCAGAATATTATACAGACTCAGGTGACTAAAATACTAAGAAAGGTGTAACTTCCTTATAAAACTCTTATCCTATAGCGGAGATATTACCACATCTTCCCTTCACATACTTACAGCGTTTATTAAATGCTCAGTTACAAATAATTTAAGTCATCTAACTGCTTTTCATTTTCAAAATTTTGACATAGGACATGTGTAGACCAGCAAAATATTGATTTCAGCAAATTTATTTCATAACAAGTATCAAAAAGATTTTACTTCCAGAAAACAAATTTAGACAAAGGCTTAGTAGCTGACAGACCTGGTCAATTAAATCAGGATTTGAGAGTGCCCAACCTTTCTTTCGATAAGCTTCACGCACTTCCTCACATGAATTGCAACAATCCTCATCTGTCTGCAGGAAAAAAAAAGTAAAATGAGAAGAAAAATTAGCAAATATTCATAACTAGAGAAAAGATACATTTTCAACTTCCTAATGCCCATTTGTTTTAGCTTCAATTGATGCTTTGAGACTAAAAAGCTGAAGCAAAAACAACTTTTAAAAAATAGAGCTTTCAACAATTTATTCTGTTTGTTGGTAATTGTTATTTTTATAAGTTCTGACTGGCACAGATTTAAAGGAAATAAATCATTTATTTTAACTTGTGATAGAAAAAGCTCAGAAATAATTTATTTTACTTATCATTTTCCTAATGTACTTACTGTTGGAAACCAAAACTGCACTGAATAATACACCCTTGGTACAAGACCCTGCCTTTGAACTGGAAACTACAAAAGGTATGCTTTTGTGACTCCTTTCTAGTAGTAGATTGGGAAGATATTATGGGATCCTTGGCACGGATTGGATGAAGAAATATATTTCAGTTTCCTTTGACTTCCTTCACAAGCAAGCTTCCATTACCAAAGGAAGCCAGAAGGTGCAGATTCAGGGCGTCATGGGAAGGAAAGATGTTTGATCCCTCTCCACAAAGAGGCTAGCTAGATTAGTGCACAAAGAATGGGAAAGCTGCCACAATATCTTATGTTCCCTGGAATTTTCCACAACCACCACAGCCTCAAGTTTACAAAAATAAGTGCTATACAGGAGGATCTTGATGTGGTACTAAGAAAATATAGAGACATTTTTGAGGAAACAAAAGGGCTACCACCAGCTCGTGAATATGCTAAGAGGTACCTCTTGTATGTTCCCTGGAATTTTCCACAACCACCACAGCCTCAAGTTTACAAAAATAAATGCCATACAGGAGGATCTTGACGTGGTACTAAGAAAATATAGAGACATTTTTGAGGAAACAAAAGGGCTACCACCAGCTCGTGAATATGATGAGAGGTACCTCTTGTTTCCAGGGGCACCACCAATGAATGTTAGACCCTACAAGTATCCTTATTTTCACAAAACAGAAAGTGAAAGGCAGGTGAAACTGATGCTAGATAACCCGGACATCCAACTAAGCCATAGCCTCTTCATGCACCAGTACTCTTGGTTAGAAAGGACTGAAGCCGGAGATTCCGTGTAGACCACCGCCAACTTAATGCAATCACCATGAAGGACAAATTTCTCATACCAGTGATTGACAACTTGTTGAATGAGCTTCACAAAGCCACAACTTTCTCCAAAACTGACACAAGATCTGGGTATCATCAAATAAGGGTGAAGGCAGAAGACGCGAATAAAACAGTCTTTAGAACTCACCACGGACATTTTGAGTTAAATGTGATGTCATTAGGTCTAACTAATGTGCCAACTACTTTTCAATCTCTTATGAAATATGTGTTAGGCCTATATTTAAGAAAATTTGTCCTAATGTTTTACGATGAATTCTAGTTTACAGCCACACCATGGGGGAGCATCTCTCGCATGTGGACACCGCTTCCTCAGTTCTAAGGCAGAACCAGTTGTATGCCAAGGAATCCAAGTATTGCTTCATGCAGAAGCAGATAGAACACTTGGGCCACTGGATCTCTGAAGCAGGAGCAAACTGATTCCAGCAAGGTAGAAGCCATGCTAACCTGGCCACAACAAACGTAAAGGCTTTGAGGGAATTTTGGGCCTTACAGGTACTACCATGAATCTGTCAAGAATTACAGTGAAATAAGCAAACCCTTAACAGAGCTGCTGAAGAAGAACATTTCCGGCTGGAATGACGAAGCAGAGGCAGATATTAAGAAACTTAAGAAGGCCATGCCAACAACACCAACTCTAGCATTACCAAACTTCGACTAACCTTTTGAGCTGGAGACCGATGTGTGTGCCGAGGGCATCAGGGCAATACTAATGCAGCAAGGGAGACCAGTGGCATTTCTTAGTAAAACATTGAGGCCCAAACATGAACTACTGTCCATTTATGAGAAGAAAATACTAACTATCTTCATGGCAATGAGTAAGTGGAGGCATTGCCTAGAAGGCAGCTCCTTTCCCATCTGCACAGACCAGCAAAGCATAAAACACATGTTGGAGAAAAGAATCCACACCTTTATTCAGCAAAAAGGCATTCTCAAGTTGTTAGCAATGAACTACTCAATCCAATATAAAGGAGGTAGGGATAACCGTGCCACAGACACTGTCCAGAAGGGAAACACCTGAGGAAGGGGTGGCTCACAGCTTCACAGTTATGATGATTCCTTCATGGGTCAAAGAAGTACAGAGTTTTTACGAAAATGATGAGCAAGCAGGGAAAATTCTCACTGAATTGCCCATCAATCCTATGGCTAAACCCTCTTACTCTTTTGAACAAGGACTAATAAGGTACACAAAGAGAATTTTTGTACGAAGAGGAGGATGCTTGAGAGAGCAACTGCTACAAGCATGCCACAGTTCCCCACTGGGGGTCAGAGGCACCTACCACCAGGTGAAGTAGCACTTTTCGTGGCCTAAAATGAAAGAACAGGTGATGGAATAGATAAAGAACTGTGACACTTGTCAAAGGTGCAAGGGAGAGCACGTGTCCTATCCAGACTTACTACAGCCCCCCGAAATTCCCGCTTAATCATAGACCCATATTACCATGGATTTTACCACATACAGTATTTTATAGCCTTAGCACACCCCTTCACGGCGCAAAGGTCGCTAGGCTTTTTCTGCACAATATTCACAAACACCATCGAATGCCATGATCAAGTATGACCACTTGAGATGAGATATTTACAAGTAAGTTTTGGCAAGAACTAATGAAAATGATGGGCACAGAATTAAATTACAGCACAGCACACCACCCATAATCACTGCTTGGAATGCTACCTAAGGTGCATGGTTTTCAGAAGACCGAAATCATGGGTCAAGTGGCTGAGTCTTGCTGAATGGTGGTACAACAGAACCTATCATTCAAGCCTCAAGATGTCCCCTTTCTCAGCCTTGTACAGGTACCCTTCACCTGGAGTGGCAAGAACTCAGCTTTGGGGCACAAGCATTGGAGTAATGGATGCAATAACGGCAAGAAATTAACAGAATTATTAAGAAGCAACTAGTGGAGGCCCAGAACAGTGCCAAACAGTATGCTGATGCTAAAAAAATAGAAAGGAGTTTCCCAGTTGGAGACTGGATCTTGCTTAAATTATAGCCCTATAGACAGTTTTCTGTAGCAGTTTGCAGCTATCTCAAATTGGCTCCAAATTCTTATGGGCCTTCTATGGTAGATCAAAAGGTAGGTACTGTCGCCTACAAGCTCAAATTACCTGCCAACAGTGCCATATACCCTGTTTTCCACGTCCATACTCAAGAAATATGCTGGGGAGACACCACAAATTCAAAATCAGTTGCCACTCATTGACTCGAAGGACAAATTCAGGTGGAGCCTGAACTCATTCTGCAAAAGAGAATTATTCAAGGTTGAGGCAAGCCAGTTAAGCAGGCTCTTGTGAAATGATTAAACACAGGACTAGACAAGACTTCTTGGGAAGATTGAAACTTTCTTAAAGGACAATTTCCACAGTTGAACCTAGAGCAAAATGTTACTTTTTAAGGTGGGGAAGGTGTTAGGAAACAAAACGGCACAGAATAAATGTAAAGTTTCCTAGTGGTTATTTTGCCTTTATTTTCTTTCCTTTTTAAATTTTGGAATTGGCTCTTAGCCGTTAGCATTGTACTAACTCGTATAGGTGCCAGCTATACTGTACCACAAAGTTGGTTATTTCCTATCCAATCATAGTCCTAGGATATTACCATATAAAAAAGGTATGACTAGACTGTAGAAGGCATGAGAATATTATGGATCCAACTTTCTATTTCTCCCATATAATTTCACTCCAATCCTTCTTCTATCTTCTGTCTGCTGCTTTTCTCTTCCCCAACTTCCAGCTCAATCTTCACACAGAAATCCTAACTTGCTAAACAAGGAACCCCTGGGTGAATGAGCCAGGATCCTAAAACCTATCCACCACAAAACTTGAATATAAGTACTTGCAGTTTTTTCCATGATTAGTTAACTTTTTTGAATGGCATCAAAAGCTACAGTAGAGGTGGCAACAACAAGCTAATTCAAAGAGGCATCTAGTCATTTACAATAAAGTATAGAAAAACAAATATAAGATATATTCATGGAGGCCTCTTAACCACACTAAACGTCAAAGCAAGTTAGCCGATACATATCTAGTTGATGAATCCAGCTGGTATTCAGGAGCATATTGTACCATAAGATCTCCAGAACAATTTTAATACATGCATCAGCATAAAGAGGATAGATAGAAAACCAAAACTTACCACTTCTGCACCATAACAGGAACCGCAATACGTTTCATTATGCTCAAGCCTGCCTCCATGTCTTTGCAAAGGTTTATCAATCTGAAATAACAATGAACTGTAGTCAGAACTAATGAGAGAATGAAGGAAACGAAAGTTCTTTCCGCTTGTTAAAAATATCTTTCTGACTATTGAAATTGAAAGATTTGCTTGGATTGCCACCAATAAGATGCCAGGAGAATCTTATCTTAGTAGATGGTCAGCTTCTCAAAGAAATTTTAGTTTAATTTCTGAGAGCAGATAATTTCACTCTCTGGCTTATTTGTAATTGCCTTCTCTTGAGATGGATTACCTCACTCGTTCTGTGGCAATAATATTATGGCATGGCCCAGGCCGCATCACAAAAACAGACACTTTGTACATACAAAATATAAGCTTTATCCTACATTTAACAATTCTGTAACTTCTGTAGATATTATATTACTCAGTGGAGAACTTTTTCCATCATTCACAGAGGTATTAAAAAATTATAAGACTTCAGAGATTTAGATCAAGCAAGTATTCTTTTTACTAACCTTAGGAGCACCAATCCCATCTTGCCTAGCTTCTATTACATTGCCATGAGAATCTATTCTTTTCTTGATAATGTCATGTTTCTGCAAATACATAAGATATGAAAATGAAAATGTCAGACAACCTTCACAAACAAAAACTCTCAAAAATTAAGCATGTGTGCATCAAGTCTTTCTAACCACATGTGCAAATGCAGACCTCTGTGCATGTGTGTGGTGTATGCTGACAGGGTAGAAAATGCTAACTGTTGAAACAAATATAACTGGTAACAAAGTAAAAAATGAGTGACTCTTAAACATACATACCACGTCAAGGTGTTGTTCTCCACTGATGTCCATGGCATCTACACTCAAGATTGAACATGGCAGGGCAGGAAAAGTGACATCAAACTGCACTTCCAACCACAGTTGTTATAACCTTATGATTCAAGATTCCAATCTTACTATTCAATTAGATTAAGTAATAAAATGATTCAAATTGTATAAGTGAGTTGCAATGAATTATAAATTGTGAGTAGACTTTGAAAATAACAGTGAACTGCACAATTGCATTAATATTTGTGATCATTCATATTTATTTAAAATTAAATCTGGTCAAATATTTAAATAACTTGCTCTTACTTACTTACAAGCTACAATTGTACACAACTTGTTTCAAAAACAAGTGTTTTATTAGATATGTATAGACTTAATATAAATTTCTCAAAACAACTTACTTCTCAATTTACAGTTGGAATCTTGATTTGATAATTATTCTTTCAGTTCTGGAGCCCACATGATTTAATTATTCAAGTATAAAAGACCTATTGAACGTGGAACTTACTGCAAAATAACGGACAAGAAAGACTACAAAAGAACATTGGAGTTTTTTTATGAGAAACAAGAACATATTGAATATCGCATGTCCTATTGTAATATATATGAAATGCTATCCATCGGTGAAAACATGAATACAGTTGTCGAAGAAACTAGTGCCCTCAAGGATATCTAAATTTATCAGTTGTCATATACAATAATTCCAACACAAATTTGATTGAAGCAGTTAGAACCTGAAAGAAATTAAGAAAGTCTAACTCAGAAGGGCAATAGACATTACATTGACACGTAATATTTCCCCTCTTGAGGTATCTACTACAAGCTTTGTTTCAGTCACAGCATGGAGGTATAGTCCTGAAACCAAATAGAAATATAAGTTTGACCACAGCATGAAAGCAAAGTATATAAAATATTCAAAAAGCATTTAAAACAATGGAAACATCGCACGAGTCCTGATGAAAAACAGCAGATACTAGGTTATCCAAAGTTTCGATAGCTCAACAAATCAATCCAGCGGCACGTTATTTTATACATGTAAAACCTTTATATAATGATTGTTTTTAGTAGCTAGATTACACTATTAATCATGTACGGATACTTGTTTTAGTTGACTCCTCGGCATGAACTCAAAGCAGTTGCTCTCATTTAAAGGCTACCATGAGTTGAGCATTGCTAGCAGCAGACACAGGAACTAGACACCAACGCTTAGAGGCTATAAAACTCTCATATATTTCTTTCCCTAGCAGATTGCATTATGAAATGAACCCACTCTAACAAAAAGGTATGACCTTCGGCTGAAATGTAACACATATTCCCTATCACATTCTCAAAAATCAAAATTACATGCGGATCCACCAAATTATAGCTGCAATTCGACAAGCGCGATTTGAAAATTTACATTCACTAATAAAGCAACTATAGAAACTAATAGGACAGACACATATATGAATTGCAGCACAAATAACCACGTACTGATTCAGAATTGAATGGCTGCCCAGAAAAACAGATTTGAGTAAACAACCAAAATTGCATGACCTATAAAGGAAGTTAAAAAGCTCGCGCGCGCGCGTGTGTGTGTATACATACGAAGAGATAGACTTACGGAGCTCGGAGAAGAAAAGTAAGAACATAACAATGGAGGAAGCGAGAGTGATAACGCCACCAGAGAGCGTACGACTATAGAAATCCTCATTGATTTTAGGGTAAGCATCCAAATTCCTTAGTTTGTTCATTATACCGTCCATGCCCAATTCAGAGCTCGGCGAGATAGATGGATGGAACGATGAATTGATTGAAAGACTGACGTTACCTCCTAAGCTAATCTAACCTAGCGAATATATATATATATATATAAGAGACAGCAACAAAAATCTAGGTTGTGTGTAATAAGCAGCTTAAACACCCCGTTGAAATTGATGAGTTTGTGATCTGGTAACTTAACGAGGCGTTTAAGATTTTGGGAGACCTAACCTATTGTCTGTCTGTAAGTTTTCTTTTCGTTTCTCTTCCTTTGTTGAAAGATACGGGAGAGACGAATGCGTGATTGCGTATTTTGCCGGGCTACGATTTTTACGGTCTACGGATTTTGTACGCTTCTCCTTTACTTGCCGTTATTAGAGAAACGAATATATTTTACGGTCTTCTACTTTCGCAGTTTTTCATTCACTATTTATTTCTTGCTTTTATTTTCAACTTTTTCTATTTTATTTTATTTACCAAAATATTGTGAGGTACTATTTATTACCTCAAAAAAATTATTTAAATGTGTGTGTCTATATCTAAGTCAATGTAACTGATAATTAACGCATGCAATCACGTCACTTCTGATCTTCACGTGGTAGGTATTTCCTCCACACCCTTCTGCCTTTCCAATTTCACACACACACTTACCTCTAAATGCTGGATCATTGACTCTGGAGCCACACATAACATATGTTACACACTCACCCTTTTCACAAATCTTAAACATGTTGCACCCATCCCAGTCACTTCACCAAATGGTTGTTCAGTGCTAGTCAATCAACTTGGAAATGTACTCCTCACCGACACCCTAACTCTACATAATGTTCTATTTGTTCCTCAATTTTCCTTTAACCTTGTCAGTGTCAGCATGTTGACCACCACCCACAACTGTACGGTTAATTTTTCTCTTCATTCTTGTGTCATCCAAGACCGCACTCAGGACTTGTTGATTGGGAAGGGCAGACGTATTGGCAACCTCTATTACTTAATTACTACATATTTTCCTTTTTCCACTGTTAATTATGTTTCCACTAACTCTAAAAGTAGCCTATGACACTTTAGAATGGGTCATCATTCCTATGTAAAACTTCAGTATATTAATAAAGTTTTACAGATTTCAAATATTTCTCATTGCGAAATTTGTCATTTGGCTAAATAACGTAAATTGTCTTTTATTTCTAAAAATAAATTATCTGACCATCCATTTGATTTAATCCACATCGATATTTGGGGTCCTTTTTCTACAC